GGCAGTGGGAGACCGGCACTAGTCGAGTGGTGAGCAGGTCCTGCGGGGGGCAGCACCCACTTGCCGTGCTCGTTGCAAGCCTAGGGCAACCCGGTTGATGTATGGGCGCAGACCTGGCAGACGGCGCGCAGTCATTGCACTTGCCGCTAACCGGTACAGATGTTTGGCCTGGGCTGCAGGGATTGTGCAGCCCTGAAGGGCACAGCGGTGTCGTGGCTTGAGGAGGCACAGCACGTCGGCTGTGCAACCTGCCATGCCCCCCCGCCCCACATACACTCTCTATTCCCCACCCAGTTGAGGTGTGTGAATGGTTGACCCCTGGAGATTGGAAAATCAGATGGCGTCAGCCTCGGCAAGTGCCTCGAAATCTCTCCCTGCTGTGTCCCGCCACCCGATCTTGACGCTGGACCGGCCCTCAGCGTTAGGCAGCAGGTGCACCAGCACGCGTATCGCTAAGCGAGCAAAATTAAGCTCCCATGATGGAAGATGACGCCCCAGGTCAATCATTGATGCGTTGACTCCGGTGCTCAAATCTGCAGCTGGAATGCTGCAAACGCTGCACAACGCACACCACATGTCAGACATGTGCGAGGATGCCACCCTTGTTGCCCTCTCCAGCTGCTCACAAGTGCCACCTTCTCATCAAGGGACGCAATTGCAGCAAGGGCCGCGTTTTCTCAATCCGACAGCGGGAGAGTGTACTTCCACCCGGTGTACCTCGGCTGAAACCCAGCCGATGCACGAAGCGTGCCGATCCTCGCACCCAGGCTTTCTGAGAAACCACGTGATTTACTCCAGCGCCGCCAGCAAGTCCGCGCCTGCCTCAAGGTTTGCCGATCGAGCGCTGGGCACACTCCTGCGAGCTCCTGGCTCTCATGTCCTGCGCTGTGAGGTGCAGCGCGCCCAGCACCCTCGCACCCCACTCCGAAGAGCACTACAGCGGCAGGCGGTGGGGCGGCGGCAGCGTGGCCATGCTGAGAGCGGCGCGCAGCCGGCTGCTGGGCCGTGCGGCGGCCTTGTCGTCCCTGGGCGGCAGGGAGGCCACCACCGTCAGCAAGACGGCCGCGGGAGCGCAGGCGCGTGCGGCGGCGCGGGCAGAGGCGGGCGCCGACGCATCCAACGACGCAAAGGTGTGGCGGCCCTGCATGGCCGTGCCGCCTGCGCCTGTGCTGCCTGCACAGGATGCAGGCCCCTGCACGTACAACCTGGCATGCCCAGACCCCTCGGCGGCTGCGTTGGATGCCGTTCACGCACAGCCACACAGCCCCAGCAAAGTCTGCCGCTGGCCGGTGGCGGTGATGCTCAGCCTCCCGCCTCCCTGTGCTGCCGCCCACCGTGCCGCTGTGCCTCCCTTCTGCCTCCCCCCGCAGGCGCGCGCGCTGGACTCTGTGCTCAAGGAGATCAACTCCCGGTTTGGAAAGAACAGCATCATGAAGCTGGGATCCAATAGCTATGGGGAAGTGTGAGTAGTGGGAGCGGGTGTTGGTGGGGTGCCCGGGTGGCGTGTCGGGCGGCAACAGAGCCGGCAGGCAGGCAGGCGCGCCGTCGGGCAGCTGCCTGCCTGACCCGCCGCCTCCTGCCCTGCCCATCCTCATGCCCACTTACCAAAAACAACAAGCACGCCCCGCGCTGCGCCCTTGCAGGCAGACGACCCCCAGCGGCGCGCTGACGCTTGACCTGGCCCTGGGGGGCGGCTACCCCAGGGGCCGGGTGGTGGAGATTTACGGCCCCGGTGAGGCGGCGCGGTGGCAGGCTGCCGCTGGCAGGCTGGCTGGCTCGTCAACTGCTGCGCTGCACCGCTTGCATGGGTCTGGCTGGCGGGGGGTGGGCCTGGCTTGCAGTGGGTGGGCTGGCAGGGCGGCCGCCCTTGTGTGTGCACCATGCACCCACCACTGCACCGCCGCCGCCGCCGCCGCCGCCGCCGCGCAGAGAGCAGCGGCAAGACGACGCTGGCGCTGCACGCGATGGCAGAGGTGCAGAAGCGGGGCGGCGCGGTGGCGCTGATCGATGCCGAGCACGCCTTTGACCCCGTGTTTGCAAAGGTGCGCGGGCTGCCGCGCTGGCTGGTGGCCGGCAGGCCGTGCGGCTGGCTGGTGGTCGGCAGGCCAGCAGCGGTGTCCCTGCATGCCTTCCAGGGCTACCGTGCTTGCTGCGGCCGGCTGGCGGCTGGCTTGCAAGCGGCCGGCGTGGTTGCGGCTTTTTGCTGCGCCGCCAGCCGCCACCTGCATGCGAGCCGACCCTGCCCCCCTGCGCCCGCTGCCCTGCCCGCAGCACCTGGGCGTGAATGTGGACACGCTGCTGCTGTGCCAGCCGGACAGCGGGGAGATGGCGCTGGAGGTGGCCGACTCGCTCATCAGGTGGGAGGCAGGGAGGGTGTGTGTGCCTGTGCGCGTGTGCGCAAGTGTTTGTGTGTGAGATGGGGGCGGGCATGCCGTGTCTTGGCTGCTCTCCCGGCCCCGTCACCGCCCACCCCTGCGCGACACCGCCCACCCGCCCACCTTCCCACCCAGCCCCCCTCCTCTGCGCCCCGCCCTGCTGCAGGTCGTCGGCGGTGGACATGGTGGCTGTGGACTCGGTGGCGGCGCTGGTGCCGCGCGCGGAGCTGGAGGGAGAGATCGGGCAGACGCAGGGTGCGCCGGTCGGGCCGGCGCGCGGGCGGCGGCAGTAGTGGCGGCGGCGGCGGCGGCGATGTGCTGTGTTGTGTTGGTGGTGCATGGGGTGGGTGGGAGGTGGCAGGCGCGCAGGGGGCCAACGGCGCCGAAGCCATATCGGGGAGCAGCCCCAAGGCACCTAATCTCCCGGCCCGCCGCCAAGCTGACTCGTCCCCTGGCCCCGGTGCCCTCCCCGCCCCCACCGCGCCCCCTCTTGTGCAGTGGGCGCCCAGGCTCGCCTGATGAGCGGCGCTCTGCGCAAGATTGCGGGCAACGCGTCCAAGCACAACTGCACCATCATCTTCCTCAACCAGCTGAGGCAGAAGGTGCGGCGGCGCGGCGGCGCCCCCACTCGATGCGGGCCCCGGGCCTCTAGCCTGGGGAGGTGGTGGTGGTGGTGTGGTGTGGTGTGTGTGTGTGTGTGACGGGTGGCGGGGAGCACGCAAACACGCTCCGTAGTTCTGTGTTTCTGTCTCGGGGATCCTGCCTGACGCTCGTGCGCCATGCACCGCCGCCCCCCTGCCGCGCCTGTGCCTGCCCAGGTGGGCGTCATCTACGGCAACCCCGAGGTCACCAGCGGCGGCCAGGCCCTCAAGTACTACGCCAGCGTCAGGTGTGTGTGTGTGTGTGTGTGTGTGTGTGTGTTGCGGTGTTTGGTGTGTGGGTGTGGGTGTGGCTGTGGAAGGTGGAGGCGGTGGAGGTAGCACCCGGGCCTCGGGGCTCATCAGGCTCAGCGCAGCGGCCCCGCCCAACCCGCGCGCCCAGCCAGCCGCAGCCCCCACCTTGCCTGCCAACCTCCTGCTGCTCCACCCGCCCACTCTGTGTGCCCTCCCGCCTTGCCCCCCTCCCCCCCAGGCTGGAGGTGCGCATCAAGGAGAAGATCTCTGCGGGGGCGCAGGGCCAGATCGGCATCCGCGTCAAGTGAGCCGCATGTGGGAGGGGCGGCAGGCGCGGCACGTGACGCATGGCAGCCGAGCGCGGCACAGCCCAGCAGGGCGCAGCGTGGCACAGCCCCGTCCCACACCCCTGCTTCTCGCCGCTCACGCCTCCCTGCCCCCACCCCCTGTGCCCCGCACCCGCAGGTCGACTGTGAAAAAGAACAAGGTGGCTCCCCCCTACAAGCTGGCCGAGTTTGACATCCTGTTTGGGTCGGGTGGGTGCGGCAGTGGGCAGCAGGGCCCGCACAGCTTGGCAGCCTCCAGCAGCGCAGGGCCACGCCCCGCAGGAGCCTGCCTGCTGCTTCTCCGCCCGCCTCTGCTCATGCTGGGGCAGGCGGCTGGAGGGGCCCAGCTGCCTGCGTGCGGCAGGCCTGCCTGGGGCTCCTACGCCCTGGTGCGGCCTGTGCTGCCTGCCGCTCACCAGCCACCCCCACCCACCCCCTGCCCGCCGCCCGCAGGCATCTCCGCCAACGGCTGCCTGCTGGACGCTGCCGAGGCGGTGGCGGTGGTGCAGCGGCGCGGCTCCTGGTACTACTTTGGGGAGCAGCGCCTGGCGCAGGGGCGGGACAAGACGCTGGATGTGATCAAGGAGGACGCGGAGCTGCACGGGTGGGGCTGGTGCTGTGTGTGTGTGTGTGTGTGTGTGTGTGTGTGTGTCCTATCCCGCACCTGCCGTGCCCCCCACCCACCCGCCCCCATGCCTGCCCCTCGACCCCTCCCTCTGCGCCCCTCCTGCCGCCCCCCGCAGCAAGATCGAGGAGCAGACGCGGCAGGTGCTGTCCGGCAAGGACATCAACGACATCTACGAGGACGGCGCGGAAGTGGTGGGTGGCGGTGGATGTGGCCGGTGTGTGTGGGGGGGGTGTCGAGTAGAGTCTTGACCGCCGCATGATTTAGAGGGCTCGCTGTGCGGGCAGAGACGTCTGCTGCCAGCCCCGCAGAGCAGCGGGCCCTAGCGCTGGTCTGTGCTTGCCTGCCTGGCCTGGCCGCAGGTGGAGGAGTCGTTTGCTGAGGGCGATGGCGTGCTGCGGGAGCAGGTTGCGGCATGATAGGGCGGCGTGCCCCGCCTGCCAGCCCTGCGTGCCGGCCGCCTGGTGGCGACCTGGCCTGGTGTTGCAAGATCTGTCATGCTGCGCTTCCTTCCTTCTCTATACCCTGGTTTAATTCCCCTCCCGCCTTTCTGACTTGCTGCCGTCTGTAGTGCACTTCCTCCTCCTCACAGGACAACAACCTCCCAACCTTGATATGCGCTCATTCTGCTACTCCAACTTTCTTTCAATCCAACAAAAGATCTCAAGTGTGCTGTGAGGAAACATGAAACAGGAATAGGGCAGCACGGAAACAGAGCAAGGAAGCACAGAGCAAGAAGCTAGCGAGTCGGTTGACAAGGGCGCCTGTGTGTCGGTGGGTATCAAAACTGGAGGCTGGTGGCGCTGGCGCCGCCGCCGTCCCCCTGCTGCTCCGCCGGCGAGTAGGCCTCCTGCGGCAGTGGTGGACAGTCGGTCGGAAGGGCACAGCGTGCATCAGACGCAGAATACACCCGTGTGCTGTCAGCGAGCACATGGATGTTGAAGGGCCGCCCCAGCCGGCCAACTTCAGCTCCCCAGCTGCTCCTCTCCCAGGCAGCCCGCCCCCGCTTGCCTGCAGGCCCATCATGGCCACCAGCGCCTTGAACTTGCCCCGCATCCCATCCATCAGCTCCTGCAGCCGCTCATCCTGCGGCAGCCAGCGGGGCGGGGCCCGGGCTGGCTCAGGCGCTGCTACTGCTGCCGCGACCCGGCTTGCAGGCTGTCCAGCAAGCAGCGGCGCGGCCAAGGGCCCGCCGGTTGGCAGCGCTTGCCGTGCGGTGCGAGGGAGCAGCAGCAGGCGTCTCACCTGCGGGCTGCTCAGCGGGAACCCAGCCACCATCTCCTCCAGCGCCGCCATGCCCTTGTCTATCCGCCGGCTGCAGCTGGGGCGGCGGCAGCGGGCGCAGCGCAGGGCCAGCAGATGAACCGCGAGGCCCTGCAGGCATGAGCACCTCACAAGGGCAGGCAAGGAAAGCAGGCAGGCAGGCAGGCAGGCCACCGCAGAGAGCAACCCCCCTAGCCTCACCTGAAGAGCTGAGGGTCGCGGGCCTGCAGCTGGCGCCACAGCTGGCAGCAGCCGGCGTAGTAGCCCACCTCGTGCCCCACATCAAACCCCTTCTCCACCCCCAGGGCCTTGCCCTCGGCAAACCCGCTGCGCCGGCCGTCCCTGCAGCAGAGAGTGGCGGCGGGGTGGCGGGTGGCGGCGGCGGGCGGCAGCCAATGGCAGCAATGCTGGCCCTGCCTGCAATCCTGTGCACCTGGCGCCCTCTTCGTAGCCCTCCCGTATGTGCTGCTCCTCCAAGTTCAGCGCCGAGTCGAACAGGTCTGCCATGGGCGGGTGCAGGGCGCCGGTCAGCCAGCGCAGCAGGGCATCGACATGGGATCATGGAACCATGCCAGAATTGGCTGGCGCTGTGCCCTAGGGCGGCAAGACAGAGAAACCCCCCGCCGACGTGGCAGAACATGTCGGAAAGTGGTTTCTGTGCCTTCCCAGCGCATCTTCCGGCCTACATTTCGGGTCAATTTCCACCTTGTCACCGCAGATCGCTTCCTGCGTCCCTCCCTGGCCTAACTTCACGGACCCTATAAATCAACCAGTGGCGCGCCCTGCCAAGCCCATCAAGGACATGCAGGCGGTCTGCGTGAGCCACAGTCTGGCGAGCAGGCCCGCTGGTCCGTCACGGAAGCCTGCGCGCCAGGGGGCTGTGCGGCAGCGGTCTGTGGGGGCCCGGGCAGCCCAGACACGGGCACAAGACACGTCATCAACGTCGGAGCAGGCGCCGATCGAGGGGTAGGCGAGGGCTGGACTTGCGCCGCTGGCCGCCGCCGCCGCCGCCGCCACCGCCCGCCGCCAGCCGCCTCTCCACCGCAAGGAGCCTCCACCTGCTGTACACCTGAAATGCAGCCTCTCCACCTCCTACTGCGACGAGTTCGTGTGCACCAGCAGCCCCTCGGTGGAGGCCAGCGTGCGCCAGCTGGCCAAGGACCTGCAGCGCGCCAACGGCCGCTGGGCGCCCATCTATGCCAGCACTGTAGAGTACCGGGTGCGCCTGCGCCGCTCAAGCTGGGCACCTCGCTGGCTGGCTGCCGTCCTCTGCTGCCGCCGCTGCTGGCCACGGCTGCGGGCTTGGGGACCCGTTCCCCGCTGTGGTTGGGACACAGCATGGGTGCGTGCAGGATGCCAGATGCCTGGCCTGCCGCTGATCACCCCCGCCCCCCAGCGCTCCTGCAGGATGCGTACCGCAGGTTCAAGGGCCCCGACGGCTACCAGCGTCTCGACTTTGTGTCCACCAACGTGCAGCAGGCGGCGGTGGCGGTGACGGGCATGCGCATGCTGGACAACAGCAGCGCCGAGATTCGGTGGCGCCTGACGGGCAAGCTGGGCGTGCTGCCCATCGACGTGGCAGGTGCGGGCAGCTGGGCCTGCTCGGGGCGTGGCAGCTGGGTGGGCCGCAGGGCCGCAGGCGCAGGTGCAGGTGGAGGCAGGCGTGTGCACTTGCAGGCTGCACCGGACAGCTGGAGTCACCGTCCCCCGGCACTTGCGGCAGCACGCTGGCGTGAGGTGGCATGGCTGCAGCAGCAGACACGCTTCCCGCGCCGTGCAGGCACCACCGAGATTGAGATGAACCTGCTGACGGGGCGCATCGAGCGGCACCGCGAAAAGTGGGACCTCGCCGCCTGCTCGCCTCCCGCGGCGGCCGCATGGAACGCGTCCCGCGCGCTGTGGGCCGCCAAGCAGGTGGGGCCCAGGCAGGCCAGCAGGTGGCGCCAGCCAGCGGCTGGGCAGGCGGGGAGCAGCACAGCGCAGCGCGGGCGGCGGTGCCGGTGAGGTAGCCGCCGGGGCAGCACAGGCAGGGCCTCTGAGCCGTGCCGCGCGCACGCCCTGTTGCTCGCTGCCCGCAGGCCAGCGGGGATGCGCAGCGGGCTGCGGGCCGAGCGCTGGACACGCTGACCAGCGTGGACGATGAGGACCAGTACAGCCAGCCCAACCCCAACGACCCCGGCCGCTTCTTCCAGCAGGTGCGGGGCTGGTGCCTATGCTCTGGCGCCTGTGCTCTGGTGCCGCAGCTCTGCTGCTGGCCATGCTGGCGGTGGTGGTGACGGTGGTGGTGGTGCTGCGCCGGTCCTCCCCCCCCCCCCCCCCCCATCTGCGCGCCCTGGCCGCTCCTGGGCCGCAGGGGGACACCTTCAAGCAGGATGCGGCGCTGTTTGTCGGCGTGGTGATGCTGTTCTGGGGGCTGGTGCAGGCCTGGGCCAGCCTGTTCAGCGGCAGCAGCGGCGGGGGCGGCGCCTTCTGACCCGCTCATGGGCGCCTCTGCGCTGCGCCCCAGCACCAGCATGCTGGCATGCACCAAGCCACCAAGTCCCCTAGCGTCAACACATGCCTGCAGCCCTGATGAGAGCCCTCCCTGAGAAGAAGATTTTCAACGCCCTCCACCGATCTGATGCGATTACTTGTTTCCTCCTTTCGCATCCATTTTCCCAAGGCCGTGACATGCCCCTTCTCATGCCGGCTGCGCGTTGGCGGCTGCCATGATGCGCCACATTTTTCCTCTTGAGACAATTTATTTGCCGCGGCTGATTGTAGCGGCTTCCACTCTGGTCTTTACTGTCTTTTCGGTCGATCTACTGCGTTCAGTATTAAAGCCACAAGCTCCAAACGATTGCCTTGACTTGCTGCAGCAACGTGTGGATGAGACGAGCCGCTCAGCGGCGGCAGTATGAGGCCCGCCTCGACGCCTTGCGCAGTGGGCGAGGGGGGGTGGGTATCATATCAGACACTGGGCTACCAACACATCCCGCAGTGGCTGCTGGGGTGGCCCTGCCTTTCCAGTACCTCAGAGCAGAGCGGGACCCGCTGCCGTTACTGGCGGCGATCCAGAGCCGCCACTGCCGCAGCAGAATCCAGCGGGGTTGTCCGGCCATGCTTCACACCCATTACTGGCGAATGCTTGTGCTTGTGTGGGCTTACAGTCTGGTTTCGAATAGTAGCTACCACTATATAGGACCGGCTTCTGTGATCTTTCGAGATCTCAACAATTTGACGTTCATGGGCCAGAGCTGGCCCTGTGGGCAGCGGCAGGAGCTGTTACGATGTCCGTGAACACCCGCAGCAGCTCCTCATTCCATCAACAGTGATGAGATCCAGGCCTACATGGTGTCCTTTTGATCTGCAGATCATCTGCAGCTGCAGTGAGACACTGTCGATGCAGTGACGCCGTCGATGCTGAGCGACCCTATGGCTGAGCTGCTTGCTTGTTGGCGAGATTATTCACAAAGCCCTCGCTGATGCCCGCAACGGACCATACGGACACCCCAGGGCCCAAATCACCTGCCCCAGAGCTTGGAGCATTGGTCCTCGAGGAAGCGGGGTGGCTCCAGCGGGGTCGAACCAAAAATACTTTGGGGTGCACCACAGGCGAACACGTGGTGGACGACCGCAACGCTCTCCAGTGTCACGCTGGTCTCCAGCATCCAACGCTCAATCAGCATCCTCTACCGAAGGCGGATCACACGGTGAGCTATCTGTGAGGCCGCGGCCAACGAGATGCAGCGATGGCCCAACGCACCCGGGGTGCACAGAATAACCATTCGCATGCCCATGCTGCGGCCTATTTCAGACAATACCGCAGAGCACTAGCCCTCGAGCACTCCCGCGGCGCAGGGGTGGTGGTATGTGCCACTGCGGCGGCGCCGCCGCGGGACACGTGTCCCTCACGCCGCCGGTGGGCGCTTCACCGCTGCTCCCTCTGCCTGCAGGAACCCGCCGTTACTCCTGCAGCTTCACAAAGCATGGAACCCTGCATCCCGGGCTCCGACAAGTCGGCCAGGAGGCCCTGGCCCTGGCCCTCTCACTGGAACCCCGCCACCGTGCCGTGCGCCTTTGCCGCGCTGCTGGTGCTGGCCTTCCTGGCCCTGGAGGCATCCCGCATGACCGCAGCAGACCGGGCAGCTGCCGTGGAGCTGGGGCCCTACTGCAGCGGCGGCAGCGAGGCGGTGGAGGGGTGGGGCCCAATCGAGCTGCAACCCCAGGATGCCGCTGGCGACGATGCCGGCGACGCAGGCGAGGGCATGCTGCCCATGTTGCTGAATGCCACCCTGGCGGCGTTCCTGGAGCGCCACTGGGAGCAGGGCAGCGCCACCGCCGGCTCAGGCTGGGTGCCTTGCGGCGAGCAGGAGATGCAGGTGGCGGTGGCGGGCTGCGCACGGGTGAGTGGTGGTCGAAAGCCACCCCAGGCTGCGGTGGCAGTGCAGATCTGGTCCTGCGGTGGCGGCTGCCAGTGGCAGCCTGTGCAGCACCATGGGGAGCGCCGCTGGCGCCTGCCTGCAAGCATGGCGCAGGCCCATGGGCGCCGGCACCACCGACCGGCCTGCCGTGCGGTGCCCTCCCCCTGGCATGCAGGCGGCCAACGAGTCGCAGGTGCAGGAGCTGCTCCTGTGGGCCAACTTCTCCTGCCCCGGCTTCCAGGACACGGCCGGCGTCAAGGCCAGCATCATGCTGCCGCTGGAGGCTGGCAGCTGGGGGGAGGGCGTGGCTGACGGCATGGAGGTGAGGGTCCGGCCTGGGCCCGGGCTGAATGCTGGGGTGCACGTGCTGGCGCAGCCAGAGAGCTGCTGCAGCATGCTGAGCCCCCAGCTGGGAGGCGCCACGTGCTGACCTGCCCCGGCCCGTCCCCTCTTGTGGGTGTCCTTGCTGCATGCCACCTGCAGTCTCCCTTCCCCGCCATCCCCACTCATTGTTTTTGGCTGCCGCCTGCGCCGGCGCTTGTGCTGTGGTGCAGGTGGAGGTGGAGGTGCTGTTCACCGATGTTCAGGCCGGCGGCGGCAGCGGGCTGGTGCCGGCAGGCGCGTCCGCCCGCGCGCAGGAGGCGGGCCCGGTGCGCTCCGCCCCGCTGCCTGCCGGCCCCGAGTGGGAGCGCGGGCCGGAGGCGAAGGGGGCGGGGGAGTGGAAGGCCTACAGCAAGAAGCACCAACGCATCAACGCCGGCATGGTGGCCCAGGCCAACGCCTCTGCCACCTGGTACGACCTGGTGCTGTATGGCGACTCCCTCACCTGGTACATAGAGCGGGAGGGGTTCGAGGCGTGGCACACCCGCTACTTCTCGCCCGCCAACGGCTGGGGCCCCACCGCCGCCATCGGCGTGGGCGGCAATGAGCTGGCCGACCTCATGTGGCGGCTGGCGGAGGGCGGCGAGGTGCCCGCGATAGACCCAAAGGTGGTGGTGCTGCTGGTGGGCATCAACGACCTTTTCGCGCACCACCCCCTGGACCAGACGGCGCAGCGCATGGCCTTCCTGCTCGACTGGCTGCGCGCGGGCCTGCCCCGCTCGCGCCTGGTGCTGCTGGCGCTGCTGCCCAACGCCGGCGTGGACACGGCGCACATGAACGAGCGGTACGCGCGGGTGGCGGCGCAGCGCGGCGTCACCTTCCTGCCCTGCGCGCAGAGCATCGACCCGCACGACAAGTACTGGCTGTACGACGGCACCCACCCCAAGCCGCCGGCGCAGGAGGAGCTGATGCGGTGCCTGGAGCCCGCCGCCAAGGCGCTGCTGGCCCAGCGCTGAGCAATTCCTTTTCCCTGGCGGTGCTGTGCCACCCCACTCATCAGCTACGCAACACCAAGTGACTTCCGCACCTTGCCAACACATAATTGTAGTTACCAGTCTCTCCTTACCCATCCAGAACCTCGCCTGTGTTGCAGTCACCCCGCTATGATAGGCCGCGTGAGCAGACCTTGGGCAGGGGGCACACGTGATCAAGGGGCATCAAGAGAGGGGGTGGACCATGGAGCACCATCTCCGTGGCTCCGACCACCCTCCTCCAGCTGGCGATGAGGACCGCTGTCGCATCCAAATTTCGCCAATCAACTGGCGATGGCACAGTGGGGGTTGGCGAAATGCGGGGGAACCACCCTTGCGCCTGGCGCGGCGCAGCGGACGCATGCGGTGCCGCCGTTGCTTTGTCGGCACTTGCCTCCCTTTATGGGGGACTGGGGGCGAAGCCCCCAGAAAGCTGGCGCTTTTTTAACACTATGGAATGAAGTTCCTGAGGAAATTTGGCCATTTTCCCTCAATATATTGGCGATGCCAGTCATGGGGGATGGCGACGGGCTGGCGACCATGCCCTGCCGCCTGCCCTCATTTCGCCAGCTCTGGCTGGCGATGGCCTTCGGCCAATCGCCAGCCAGAGCCGTTTTTTGCCCGATTTCGCCAGCATTTGGCGATTTCGCCAGCTTTCAGAAACACTGCCACCTACAATCTGTTCCGCCAGCTGTTCCGCACATGCTGGACTGCCCCTCCACACACAGTTACCGTGTTCATAGCCATGTTGTAAGGAAAAGTGACATCAGAGCAGGGCTTACATTAGGCGGCAACAGGTCGTGTGCGTGAATCAAAATCTAATGAACCGGTGGGGCTGTGGCGGGGACGGCAATGCAGGTGGCTGCTCAGTTTGGGCAGAACAGAAGAAGAAGGAACAGATATGCAGAGTGCAGCAGCCTGCTGGCCAGTCAAAAGAGGGCACAGCTGGCAAGGCGGCGCGAGGGATACAATGGGCAGGGGGGCAGCAGGCCCTGCTACCCGGGGTTGAGCAGCAGCCCCAGCTACTTGCGGTATACATGAGCCCTCTGGAAGCTCAGCCAGCGTGCAGACAGTGCAAGGGCCAGCAAGGGGCTGCCTGGCAGCTCACGCCCCCCTCGGTGCAGGGCTGCCCATCACCGCACCGCCACCTGGTTCAGCGGCGCATCGTCGGGCAGGCTGGCGGAGTCGGGCAGGCTGGCGGGGCTGCCGCTGCCGGCGCCCGCCGCCACCGCGGGCAGCTCCAGCTGGCCCCGCCCGCCAGAAGCGGCGCGCTGCGCGCCGCCGCCGCCCTTGCTGCCGTCGCGCGAGTAGCGCTGCAGGTTGGACGGGGGGGAGATGACGTAGCGCGGCAGCTCGTACTTTCTTCCCCGCTCGTCGTAGCAGATGGTCATGTCGGCGGCCGCCACAATCACGCCCGCAGAGTCCAGGATGATGCGGGCCGTCTCCAGGTCGGCCTCGCACGCCGCCCTCAGCGCATCCCAGATCACTGCGGGAGAGCGGGGGCAGGGGCGTGGTGGGTAGCGACAGGTCAGGTTGAGGGTGGCACAGGTGGGCAGCCAGCGCGGCATGGCTTGCGTCCTGGCTCGGAACAGCAGCAGCAGGCTGGCTGAGGCAGCGGCATCATTCATCCATCGGCAGGCCGTCCCGCTGAGCGGCTGAGTCATATGCGCACCTCGGTCGCCGCCATAGTGCGGCTCGGTGTCCCAGAACTCATCCTTCATGCGCTGCAACAGGCAAGGCGGTGTGGGTGTTAGCGATAGCCGTCCGGGCATGCAGGTGCTGCCACGAAGCGCTCGCAGGTGCGGCAGCAGGCAGTGGGCGAGCGGCGCCGGCGCCAGCGGCCGCCCCGCCCACGCCCTCCCCGCAACGCCACCTGCAGCTGGGACTCGGTGACCGGCTCGTCGGACCTCCACTTGTGCCGCTTCCAAGACTTGACTCGAGTGGAGCCAAAGGTGGGGTCGCCCAGCTCGTCATCTTCCGGCTTGCAGCAGACCGCCCCCATCACGCCGCTGCTGGGCCTATATGCGGATCACGGGGGAGGGATCTGAGGCCGCTGGGCCCGCAGCCGCGGTAGCAGGCGGAGGGTTGCCGACTCCTTTTCTCTTGATCCCTTTTCAGTTTGGTCTAGGGTGCTGCAACAGGGTCTGAAGCTCCTTGCAAGAAGTGGAGGGCAACCCTTGGGTGCGTGAGCTGGCAGGGCCAGGTGGCAGAGGCAGGGCAGAACGGCAGAAAACCGCAGGCGGCTCCAAATTGGCATTGTGGAAAGGCTCGAAATTAAATCAGGATGGCCACCAGCTTCATTTTGCAGCGCCTGCAGCAATTACCGCACCCCGTTCTCGACACGCAGGGCGTGGAGCAGGTGGCCAGCAACCTCAGCGAGGTGCGACTGAGCAGGGTGTCGGAGAGGGCAACGGTGGGGGGCGGAGGGGCGGGAGCGTGCGATGCCGCCGCCGCTGTACAGACCGTCGGGTTCTCCCTACTGTCTGCACCTTGTTTTGCACAGCTTACCACGCAGTAGCAGCGGCATGCACGCCGCACACTGGCAGCCACATTCTGCTTGCATAGCCGGCCACAGGCCTTGCCCTGCTCCCCGCCCCGCAACAGACGCAGCCTCTGCCGCACCCAGCCCCATGCTGCCCTCGCGCATGCCCACCCCCCTGTGCCCCACAGGCTCTGGAGTTCCTGGGGCGTGACCCAGACGGTCAGGTGTCGGCCCACTTCAAGGCGTGGAAAGAATACTTTGGGGAGCGGGAGCAGCGGCTGTACTACTGCAACGACGAGGTGGGGAGGGCTGTGGGGCTGGTGTGTGTGTGTGTATAGGGGGCTGCACGACTGCTGGCAGCGGGCTACTCAGGTGGTGGGGCTGGTGGTGGGACGGTGGCGGGACTGGCGGGCAGTTCTGCAGCGCCGCCTGTCAGGCATCCCTGTTGCCTTGTTTGCACCCGCCATGCCGCCGTCGCACGCTGCCCCAGGTTGGGTACAACTCCTGGGACGCGCCGCCCTGCTTCAAGTTCAATGAGTGGTACCTCGACTCGCAGGTGGGCGGTACTGCTGTGTGTGTGTGTGTGTGAGGGGGGGGTGGGGGGGTGCATGAGGCAGATGTATCAGGCAGATGCATGAGGGAGATGCATGGGACAGATGCATGGGACTGGAGCAGATCCCAGCAGAACTTGCGGAAGAGCATGGGCTGCAGGTCGTGCCTGCCCCACTGCCAGGGCCCGCGGCATTGCTGCGCTGCTGGCACGGCTGCCGCCGCCCTGCCCGTCATCACCTCGCGTCCGTCTTGCCTGCCGCCTGCCCGCCCGCAGCTGTATGCCATCTCCCTGCGCCTGGCCCGCGACATCTACGAGACCCTTGGCAGCTTCCTCACCCGCCACCCGCCAGAGGTCACATACAAGGCAGGCGCCGGCAGCGCCGCTGCGCGGCCCTGCTCCCGGGGGCAGGGGGACCCAGTCACCGCCCCTGAGCTGCTGCCGCGGGCCGCTGCTGCTGCTAAGACAAGCATGCTGTACGCATCCTGCCCCCTGCGCACCCTCCATCCTGCGCCGCCACACTCGCACACGCACGTGCACACCACCGCCACCTGTTCCTCCCTTGCAGGCGCTGAACACCCTGGCACGCCTCGTCTGCAACGTGGCTGATTGTGCCAACGAGGTGCGGAGGCGGCGCCCTGCTGCTGCCGCTTGTTGCTGCTGGAGTTGGCCGGCTGCTGCCCTCACGCCATGGGATGGGTCACGTACCGCTATTGCACTGCCGCTGTACCACTGCAGGTGGAGCGGTACCGCAAGGTCAAGGTAGACAACCCCAAGTTTGCAGAGGCGGTGTGGGACGTAGCAGGCGCAGCACAGGTGCGCCTTGTGTCGCCTGGGGGTGTGGTGGCGGTGGGGGTGTCGCGAACGTGGGCACCCGGCGCAGCGGCTTGTGCTAGTGGTGTGTGCAGCTGGGCCCAGCCGGCATGGCGCCTGCCGGCTGGCTGCTGCCAGTGCACACTCTTTGCCTGCGTGGCGCCTGCCTGCCTGCCAGTCCGCTCACCATCGCCTCCTGCTGCTGCTGTCCCTCCCTGCCCCCACACCCGCTGCTGCCAGATCCTCTTCCTCGTGGGCTTCCAGCGGCAGGGCCAGGCGCTGAGCATCGCGGCAGACGCACCCCTGGGGCCGGTGCAGGCGGCGGCGGCCCGGCTGCGCCGCCTGGCAGACCGCAAGGGCCACAGCGGCGCCGCCATTGCAGTCAAGGCGGACGGCGATGGGGCGGATGGGGGGCGGCAGGCCTCGCCCTTCTACAACACACCGGGCTTCCGATACCAGGAGCAGGTGGGCTGGGATGATGGCGGATGATGGTTGGTCCCGCAGGAAGAGCAGGGCAGGGGCTGGAGAATGGAGAACATGGGGAGGAGAGGGAGGGAGGGGCAGCCGGCACTGACAGCATTGGAGGGAAGCCTGGTCTCCATGATAGCAGACACTGCACCCATTCTGCTGTGCTGCTGCCCCCCCATCTCCTGGCTGTGCAGATCTGGCACTGCAATATCTGCGATCACCCCATCAACGACGGCAGCGAGCGGCTGTGGACGGGCAAGCATGATGCACCGCACGGAGAGTTCAGGCACGCCGCCGCCGCCGCATCCTCTGCTCGCCTTGCCGTGGGGCTGGCATGTGGGGTAGCAGCGAGCTGTGTGCTGGAGTGCGCTGCGCCACTGCTGGCTGGGTGTGCTGCTGCGGAGGCAGGACTGATCTGCCTCCCCATCCCACCCTTCCAACCCTACCTGTCCCCCGTTGCCGCGCTGCAGATACCTGTGCACCACCTGCGAAGATGCGGGCACAAAGTTTAACCTGTGAGTGCCATGCTGTGTGGCGCAGTGGGCTGTGGGACCCAAGCAGTGGTGCTACCTTCGAGCTCAGAGTTCCAGCCGGCATGACCTGTGCACCTGCCAGCCGCCCCCGCTGCAGGTGCCAGGCCTGCTGGGACACTTTCCAGGAGCAGGTGCAGCAGGCCAGCGGCGGCGGCAGCAGCAGCGGCGGCGGCGGCGCGGGCAGCAGCCGAGCGGCGGGGCCGCCGCTGCACAACGTGCGCCACTCATTCCAGCACGTGGGCCCTCGCATGACGCGGCACAACGACTACTACGGCACCCGCGGCGACAGCAGCGACAGCGGCGACCCCGCCAACCCCTGGGGCCGCCCCACCAACGGCGGCGCCTCGCTGCAGCGCGCGCTGCGGCGGCTGGGCGAGCGGTACGGCATCCGCGAGTGGTTTTGATCTGGGCTCCCAGCTGGCTGCCTGGCCCTGCCTGCCTGCCTGCGACCCTGCCCCGGCATGTGACGTCATGCGACAGGCAACTCAGGCTGCTGTTGCTTGCTAAGCCAGCCGACCACTTGCCGCTGCTGCCTGCTTGCTGCTGGGCACGAGCTCGTTGGGGATACTCAAGAAGTTGGACACACATCTATTACATATTGCTGAGATTCACACCCTGAACAGAGAGCCTGTTGCGGCTCATGCATGTGTTTGCATGGGCGCGCAGCGCCAGCAGCAGGGCGGGGGCGGGGGTCAAGTCCCGGTCCCTTGGCCTTCCCGGCACCCGTTCGCCCTGCCCTCCTTGCCCCCCAGCCCCCCCAGCCTCCCACCCCCCCCCGCCCCCTCGCCATGACGTCGCCGCTCGCTAAGACGTGGACGCCCCTGTGCCAGTCGAAGCGTGTGTTTGCCGCGCCGCTCAACAGCGAGGAGAGCCGTGTTTTTTGCGTGGTCGGGTCCACCCACGCCGCTGCTACAGCTGCAGAATCAGCAGGAGCAGCAAAATCAGCAGCAGCAACATGGGGCTCAGCAGCCTGCTGAGCACCCAGCCGACGGCCTCCGGCACGCGTTTGTCGCTTGCAACGACCACCGCTGCTGTGCAGAGCGCAGGTGAGGGCGGTGCCAGGCGCATGCGGCGGGCCGCCGCTCTCTGGAGTCCCGGCCTTGCTGCTGTGCTGTTGCTCCGGTTGCAGGGCAGCCTCGCAGGCGCGGCTGCACCCAGGCTCGCCATCTTGCTGCCCCGTCCGCGCTGCTGCAGGCTGATCAGCAGCTGCGTGCTGGAGGCTCGTCGGCGGGGCGTGCAGCCCCACAAGGTGGCCACCTATGTGCGGCGGCGGCTGGGCGGCGGCGTGGCCATCCTCCGCTTCCGCGCCGACGGCACCCCGGGCTGCTCCGCGCCGTGCACGCTGTGCGCGCGGGAACTGCTCAAGTATGACCTCAAGGTGGCCTGCCTGATGGAGAACGGCCAGGTGTTTTGCGGGCGGCTCACCGACCCCGGCGCGCCACCAGCCAAGGTGACCGGCGGCCAGCGCGCCTGGCTGACCTACTGGGCTAGCTGCCAGCGCCGCCCCAACACGAGCGGCGGGGCCAACGCGGGCAGTGGCAGCGGCGATGCCGCCAATGTGCCACCGCCTGCCCTGCGGGGGTCGCCACCGCCAGGACGCCGTGGGTCGCCGGGCTGACCACCTCTCCCTCCCTTTCGCGACTGCTTCTTCTGTTCCTCTTAGCTCCTGACATAGTTTCTTGCTCCTGTTGGTTGCCCTCGTGCATTACACCACATCTTCCGTTTAATGACCTCCAGCGCAAGCAGCGACAGCGCGGTGGCATGTGCGGCTCCGGCCTGCCTGCTGCGCCCGGTCGGCAAGCTATGTTTTTCTTGCCCGTCACTCCTGCTGCACTCCAATCCACCTATCCAAGTAGGCGGCAGGCTCAGGACAGTGCAGCACGAGGGAGAGACAGAGGCCACCGCGTTCTGTGGGTCTCGGTGCGGCTTGGGAGGCCAGCAATTGGCTGTGTCAACCCCCAAATCCCGCGCCATCATCATGTCTGTCTTTGAGGAAGGCACGGCGCTGGTGGGCAAGGTGAAGTCGGCAGACGGCACAATCCAGACGAAGGAGTTGCTGGAGGTGTGCCGGTCCATCCTGCCGATAGTAGGTGAGCTTGGTGGGGCGGGGGGAGCAGCGGGGCGGGCGCGCAGTGAAGCACGCTCCTTGCCGCCGCACCGCCGCTCAGCCTCCCGCCCACCGGCTGCCCCTCTGCTGCGCAGACAAGCTGGGCACCGGGTTTGGGCTGGTCAAGCACGACGTGGGTGGCAACATTGACCGGCTAGCCAGCTGCGCGGCCACCAAGCCGGAGGTGTACCAGGCAGACGCGTTTCAGATGGTGCGGGACGACGTGGCGGCGGGCACCCACACCGGCTCCTCGTCTGTCACTAAAGGCCTGCTGTGGCTCAAGAGGTGCGGCGCCCAGGCTGGAAGGGACTCCGTGTGCTGGTACAGGGCCAGCCTGCAGCACCATCGGCCTCACCTGCTGGTCTTGCCGCGTGTCGCAATCAAACAGAATGTCAGGGTATCACTGCCTGCTGCCGTCCTGCGCCGTATAGGGCCATGGAGTTCATTGTGGCACTGCTGGACAAGCTGCACAGCGACCGTGCCATGCCGCTCAGCACCGCAGCCAGCGAGACGTACTACACCACGCTGCAGCGCTACCACGGCTGGATCGTGACGGGGACCTTCACAGTGGCGCTCAAGCTGGTGCCCAGCAGGTGGGCGCCTCGCCTGCAGGTTTGTGTGATCAAGGCCTTGATGCAGGGGTGTGTGATGAAGGTCTGCTGTGTAAACCGCCTGCCTGCCACCTCCCCGCGTCCATTCACTCCCCGCTACGCAATCCCTTCCCGCACTGCGCAGGGAGACATTTTTCGAGAAGGTGGGGGCACAGGCGGGCGACGACTCCACCATGCAGCAGATGCACGCCTTCTGCACCGCCTTTGGCGTGGTGCTGGCGGACATCCAAACCTTCCTGGCAGAAAACGACCTGGACGACCCCACCAAAGTCTAGGGCGGCTGCCCCGAGAGTCCCGACTTGGGGCGTATGTGCTACTGACTGTCGCCGGCCCTATATCCAACTTGGGGCGGGCGGCGCGCCCGCCGCTGGAGCGCTGGTTGCGTGATTTACGAACAATTTGTGAAATGAATTGACTGACGATATCGAAATGCCATTGACTTTTGAATTCCCGCAAGTGTAACACAGAGTGTGCTGCTGAGCACAGTTTTGTTGGGGGGAAGGTGCGGTTGGGTCGCGAAGGCATAGGTGGCTGTACTGCCGCCACCGGTCAAAGGCAACGGGTGCTCGCCCCTCCTCCTCAAGGCCCTTTGCTTGCCCTCAATCTGTTCACCTGCTCGCCAGAGCCAACCGCCCCGTCCTCCCGTTCAAGCCTCGGAGGCTTGTGACCACTGCCTCCGGTGGCACAGCCCACGCAGGACGAGCGTGAGTGTCCGGGGGATGTGGGGTGCCGCTGGGGCCGCCCCGGGCCGCGGGTGTCGTGTGAATGGGCTCACCTGAGCGGCTTGCCGCGAGTGGCAGCGACGTTGCGGAGGCAGGGACCTGTCCCCAACGGTCCCACCTTCTGTCGTAATTGAGCGGCGAGCGGGCAGGGGGCAGCAGGAGGCCTGTCCCCAGCCACGCCCGCATTGACCCGCATGCCGCCGCCGCGCTGCCTCCGCTCACCGACCTGCAGGACACGCAGGGCAGCCGGCAGCAGCAGCCATGGCGGCGCAGGGGGGTGAGGAAAACTGGCTGCCCCGCATGACCAAGGCCTTCATCGCTCTGGATAGCTCCAGCCATGCCATCGACACGGCCGCCTTTGCGGCCGCCATGGAGAAGGTGTGGTGGTGGCCTTGTGGTGCGGCTACACCCCCCGTTTGGGGCGTCAATTGTCCCAAAGCAGCAGCCAGCAATGCGCCTCCCGCTCCTCCAGCTGCTGTGGCAGCGTGAATTGTGTGCACGGGGGCCCGCTGCAAGGGGGAGGGCCCCGTGTGGTTGCTGTGCTGCCCAACTCGAATGCACTGACCCGCACTGGCCGCCTGCCTTGATGGTGCTGCAGGTGCTCCCCATCTTCGAGAAGATCGGCACCGTCTTCCTGTTTGCGCGGCACGAGTTTGCCGTCAAGGCGAGCCCGCCACTGGCCTTGCGTTGTGTGCATGTGCTAGTGCAGCTGCCAGCTTCCTGCGCTGTGGCAGAAGCCGGTAAACTGTTCCAGCCAGCGCGCCTTGTCCTGATCCGTCCGCCCCATGCCTCTGCTGCCTGCTGCCTGCCTGCCTGCCTGCAGGTGGAGACGATAGTGGTGGTGGCTGCCACCTGCTCCACCCTGGACCAGGTGGTGAGCGCGGGCAAGCAGGTGGGGCCCCAAACCACGCGGTGCCGCCGCGCTGCCCTGCCATGCCTGACCCCGGAGCCGCTGCCGCCCCGGATGCCGCCCAGCCCTCCTCTCCGCCTGTTCGCTCCTCGACGCGCGCATCCTGCGTGCTGCCGCCCCGCCCGCCCGCCCGCCGCAGGACAACACCATCACCAAGAAGAACAGCCCCGCCCGCAACGTGCACCGCCTGCTCAACACGCTCAACTTCATCGCCGCCATCTTTGAGAACCTGGCCAAGGGGCAGGCGCTCAAGGTGTGCGCCCACTGGCAGCATGCGCGGGCGTGGCAATGAACCGCAGCCGAGCTGTGGATGGGAGGGCGGTGTCGTTGGGCTGCTGCCACCCTCCGCTGCCGTTGGCTGGGCCATGCCTCAGCGCTCCACCCACCTCCCGACCTTCCCTTCCCTGGCTCTGCGCACGCCTGCTGCCGCGCAGGACGCCGTGTCTGACGCCTATGACCGCACCCTGGCCCAGATACACGCGTGGGTGGTGCGGGCGGGCATCAAGACGGGCATGATGGCGCTGCCCACACGCGAGCACTTCCTGGCGAGCATCGGGGAGACGGGTGGGTGCAGCGCTTCCAAGTATTCGAAGTAGTACTGAACAGAAATGGCGACGCGTGCATTGGAGGGTGGCTGGGAGCGCTTTGCAACTTCTGTTGTGGGCTTGCGGGGATTGGCTGGCTGGCTGGCTGTGCTGCTGCACCCAGTCGCTGCGCCTCCTGCTCCCCTGGCGAACTGCCCCTGGCCCCGCCCTTGCCCTGGCCCTGCCCCCGCTGGACCCCCCCTTGCCGCCCTGGCTGCTTGCCTGCAGAGGACAGCGCACGCCACCACGCCGAGGGCTTTGTGGTGGAAGCGCACAAGCTGGTGGGGATGATTGAGAAGCTGTACGACGGCGTGGAGATGCCACGGTCAGACTTCTCTGTCGCCTCGCTGTGGAAGTAGGGAGGGGGCAGCGGCCACCATGGTGGCAGGCCCCCCTTGGCGCGCTGCACAGCGCCCACCTGCCCACCCTGCCTGAGCAGGCCCCGGTGATCGCACCACACTCGCTCTCCCTTCCAAACTCCTCTTGTGCTGGCCGCGCGACTGGTTGCGGTTTTAGCCCCCCCCGCTGAGCCCACCACCAGGGCAGTGCCGCAGGGCCCTGGGCTGCTGGCCGCAGTTTTTATCTATCGTTTATCATTGACATCGGGTTTTCATGTCCCCTTTTCGCCACCCGCCACGGCCCACCGCGCGCCGCGGCCCGCCCCCACCGCACACGGCTCCGCCGCATACGCCCCCTCCCGCGCCTGTTGCAGAGGCACCGGCTTCTGAGCCTGGCATCGCAGCTGCCTCCTCCCTGGAAACTCTCACCTGATGCTCCTGTACTTGCGAACTAAGCCTGTAACCCGCACTGAGAGGGAGCGGCACGGCCCGGGGTCGCTGGAGCGGCGGGGCGGGGGCGGCGCTGAGGTGGCATTCGTTTTGAGTGGCGGCGGCGTTCGCTCTGGGGCCGTCCCAATCCCATCTGCGGTTTGACAGAGCTTTCATTGGCTGTTTTACTGCGCACGGACGCTGCCCCGCAGCCATCACCCAACTCCCGTCTGCTGGCTGATGAGCAAAGGTGGCTCAGACCTGATGGGTGTGTGGGGGTGGGATGGGTGCACACAGGTGCAGTGCTGAGGTCGCGCAGAAAGCG